AACACAAAAATGTTTTCGAAAAATATATAAAAAATATTTAAAAATACAAGTTTTAAAAATAAATCATTCAAAATGAGCGAATTGTATTTAAGAGCTAATTATTTTTAAAAACTACTCGTGTGATTTTTACAAAGCTTGGCATACTTTGAGTCATAGAATCGAAATATGGAAAAAACTGGCATGTTATTTCACAAAAAGTCCGCTTTGGGTCGAAATACCTATATTAGAAAATTGTTATATATAAATCTAATATATATCCTACGTCGAAATTGCGAGACATGAAAAACGCAAGTTCAATTTCGTCAAATGGCCCAATAGAACTGTCCCCCCTTTTTTTTACGCAGTTTACAAACTTATACATACCTATACATTCCGTGCATTTTGCTCTATTATAATATGCACTTTGTATTGTTATCAATAACTGTAAAAGCATTTTCTATACATCTTAATTAGTTTATATCAGAATTATCCATGTCCGAAAAACTTAACTATGTATGTGTATCTGCACTTGTAATGTTCATGAAATGTTCTTCTAATGTTGTAATGTGCCTGATTCGAGATATAAGCATCAGCCGAGTTGGTAACCATCCTCGTACGACTAGGGCAAGAACTTACGTTCTGTTCCGTACTGTAGTTTAATTCCTAATATCAATATGCTGCATGTCCAATGGAAGAGAAACTTCCAAATTTTCCATTATCACATTCAAAATTTTAAATACTCCCAATTAGAAAACCTAACTATTTAATCAACAAAATTCTACTGACTTCATTATTTTTGAAAAAAACTAGATATCCAAATCTATTAATTATAAAACTGAAAAAAATCTGAAAGCTATCAAATTTTACATTATGCCCACAACAGCGATATCACAAAATAATTTTAAAATAAGCATATCTTTAGAATTTTCGATACACAGTCTTGCGCGCTAGAAATAAAAATGTCTTTTTTTTTTTTTTTTTTTTTTTTTTTTTGTACAGTGTTTCTATTGCTCGCTTTTGAAATCGTCGAGTTTGTTAATCCAAAATTCGTTAAAGTGTTACAAAATATGAAATAGAAAATAAAACAAATTCCAGATTCCAAATTAGCGCTTCCAGATGCCCATATTCGGTGGAACATTATGTGATTCAAAATTGGATAGCTCTAGGTACCGTTGTTTTATCACAATGCGGCAAACATACATACATTTATGCAGATTCTACATTATTTAATTTCTTTAAATATAATGCAGGACTCTAATATTTAGTGGCAACAATTTGAAAAGTGAACCGACATTTATAGTGAATCAATGCAAAATACCCAAACGAAATTAATAGCCCTTCTAGGCTAATGTCCTTAAATCTAATAATCATCAAAACTAGACCTATAATCATGTTATTCTAGTTTGTAAATATATGCCAGTCACTGTCCTTATATTTGGCTACACCATCAAATATTTCGTATGGCGGTCTTTCTATCTTTCACATTATGTGTCCATACTGATCGGCAGTGTGAACCATATAATCGCTCTTCCGAAATGAAACCCTTCGTCCGTAGATTCTTAACCTTGGTGCTCATTGCAAATATTACCTTTTCGTTCCACTTCCTCGCTTGGGTTATAGTTCGGAGAGTAAATTAAATCAAATACTAGCTCTGTCACGTGATTTGGCCACAGGCTTTTGAATGTGTAAACGTCGTTAGTGATTTCATGCGACATACATGACGATTTCTTTATTTACCGAACTTAATCAGCATCTTCTAACGATGTAAACAAACGCAAACACTGATAAATTCTGCTTTCTTAAATTCCGGAAACTGGTTTCCGGCGGAACTTACTATCTGCGGGCAATGTGCAGAGGGCTCGTGAAACTGTTTACAGGGTCATCACTAAATTAAAAGAAACAATAATTTTAGTGATTTTAACGGCATGCCCGATATCGGGAAGTTGTGTTTGATATCGACAAAATATCGTCGTCGAAAATAAAGCGGTTAAAAAAGTTCGCTGTTTAAAAAATCGTCGTCGAAAATATCGTGTTAAAAAATAAAGTATCTACAAATCATCGCATGACGATAACATCACAGACATGCGTTTTTCAGGATTTAATAATTGTAAATGGATATTTCCATCATGATTTGTGTGTGTGTGATTATGGCAAAGCCTCGAGGGCTATCTGCCTAAGAGGAGGGATGCCTTCGTGGAGGACTTTCTAAGGGAAACTGGCTCGTATACACATTACACATGGGAAAACCACGAAAACGCCCATGCAGCCAGCCCGTTCGCGAGATTCGAACCTCGGACCGAACTATCAGTGTTCAGCGATTTTACCGCTCAGCCGCTGGTGGGCCCCATCATGATTTGTGAGCGCAAGATAGAAAGAAGGATAATTTTTACTTTCATATTATTTATTCATTAATAAAGTTTTGCTGAAAAAGTATGAAGGAAACTTAAGCATACAAAATTAAGGCAACTTATAGCACTTAATAGAATTTTAAACTGACAAAGGGTTGGCTAACAAAGGTCATTAATAAATCATTTTTTATAAAGTTTTTTACTGTTAATTTTTTATTAAAAGCATAATCTAAAAGAGATTAGAAACAGGAAGCTACGTAACTGCATGGCCTTCTATATGAAAAATTGCTAAGTTAATTATGAGATTATTTTCTTCACCTTTGTCAATCTAATACTCTTATAATGAAAATTATTTCTTGTTCTGCTTCAGTTTATTGTTTCCTTCTTACTTTTCCAGCAAAAATTTATTAGTTAATAAAAATATGACAATAAAAATTATCTTTCTTTCCATTCTCGTGCTCACAAATCATTATGGGAATGTCATTTACAATTATTAAAGCATGAAAAAAGCAGGTCTGCGATGTTATAGTCCTGCAATGATTTGTCGATACTTTATTTTTTACCGTGATATTTTCGACGACGATTTTTTTAAACTGAGACGTTTTTGAACCGCTTTATTTTCGACGACGATATTTTGTATCGCGATGTTTTCTCCCACGATGTTTTGTAGCACGACGCTTTCGCCTTGCTTTGTTTTCCCCGCGAAGTTTTCGTCCGCGATGATTTTGCCGCGATGTTATCGGCGGACACTTTATTCCATATTCGAATCTGAGAACATTATCAGATGGTTAATAAATTTATTTGCATATATATTAACTTTGAAGTAAATATAAAACAAGCATTTAGAAACTTACCTCAGAGTTACCATAGTATGAGCAACATGCACAATACTCAGAAGGCCCTGATAAGCTGGGAAAAAGATGATGTAGTACAAAGCTTGTGACCAGCAACCTTCATCCGGGCAGTAGCCTTCAGTAAATACTCCACTGTAGGTTGCAGAAAGATCATGTCCGCAGGAACAGTTCGCGTATACCTTGAATTATAGATAAATTTCAAATTATGGTACATAAATTATTGACAAATAAAAGAAGATAGCATAATTATTAATTATAATATAAATATAAAGAAATATATGAAAGCTTTCAGATTTTACATTACGCCCAATCGGGCATTTTTTTTCACTTACACATATATACACATTTCGAGAGCATTTGGGCTAACACCCCTTCGGGATAAAATTATTTAAAAACAGCACATCTTTAGAAGTTCCGATAGACAGCCTCCCACGCTGAAGATAAACTATTTTGTTCAGTGCCATATTTTGCCATTTCTCACTTTGAAATCGTTGAGTTTCTTAATAAAAAATTCATTAAAGTTTAAAAAATATGAAATAGATAATACAACAAATTCGAAATTCAAGATTCGAGCTTCCTGGTGCCTATATTCGGATAGAGGACTATGTTATTTAAGATTTTATAGTTGTGTAGAGACATTAGGATTTTCGGAAGCAGGCAAGATGAAAAATTAGCAAATGCCTTTGCCGGGAAACGAACCACGGACCTCTGAAATACCGGCTCAGTGTGCTGACCACTACAACACGAAGGCAGGCTAGGAAAGCGGGAGAAACATCGTATATACTCCCTCATTTAAAGGGCGACTGGGGTTTTTAGGGGACCCAATTGCCAAATCCTGGGTGTGGAGACTCATTATCCACGACCCTTTTAGTTCGGGCGCCACTGCAGAGACATTAAGATAATTTGAAAAGCCGGAGAGATGAAAAATGAGCAATCGCCTTCGCCGGGAATCAAACTACGGACCTCTGGAATACCGGCCCAGCGCGCAGAACCACTACACCACGAAAGCATGCTAGGAAAGCAGGAGATATACCTAATATACTCCCCTTTTTAAAGGGGTTGTTTTATTTTATATGATAATTTCAGCTAAATTAAATTCACAATTTTTGTGAAAACATTTAAAAAAATGGCCCATATTTAAATAAATTACTGTATTCACTACGACTATGTTTAAAAAATTATTAAATTCAGTTTATTAATTACTTCGTGTAATAAATTTGTATTATGTTATATGTTACACTTTTTAAACGCCAATTAAAAAAAATTAAGAACAGAGAGAATAAATATTTACATTGATAGCAACTGATTTCGTTTATTATAGTTGCATCATAGTTCATACACTTTTAGAACGATTTAGTTAAAAAAAAAATTTTAAAGAAAGCAAATGTTTTGGAATAAATATTTCTTGCAACAGCTTATTATTTGAAATTAGACATATCGTCTACTACTTCTAAATCTATTCTTTTTTCACAATGTCCCATGCAAACAAGCTATAAATCAAAGGATATGTTTTTACGTTTTACAAAAAAAAATATTTCTATTCCTTAACTCAAAAACGTTGTGAAGCACAAGTTATTAAAATTTATAAGGTAAAATAAACAACATCATTAATCTAAAAGGAAAAAACCGTCAATCATTACTTCTACAGGGAATAAAAACTCCAAATGAACACCCGAGAAAGGTATGTACTGTTTCTGATGTTACTAAAATTAAATCGTTGGTAAGAAGAGAAAATCCGAAGACGTATCGAAAGTCTTTAAATACATTTGTAACAGCAATGAATAAAATACTAAATCAAGATTTACAATTAAGTGACGAAATGTAACGGATTTTATTGCAGGGTGTCTTTTCAATATATATCCTGGAAAATGTTCCAAATTCTGTAAATATTCCTGGTTTTGTAAATACCTGACGTGTCTTTTGTTAATTTGCTGCATGCGGATATAGACATACTTCTATGAAATAAAAAATGTGTTCAATAATTAAATTATCGTAGATTTTATAATTACATTTCAAGTAATACGCGAGATCTTTTACAAGAAGTTGAGAAAAAATCTTTGGATTTATATTCCCTTGGCATTTTCTGTATTTGGAAAAATATATGGGGTTAAATTAAATTACCTGCAGAATTTAAACTAATGATGTTAGAAAATATTGCAGAAGGAGAGGACATGGGAGGACTACCTAAATTTTGCAAGAGACTGTTTATAAGTAGTTCCTAGCACAAATTATTCAATCAGATATTTTACTCGTAAAGATATGCTATAACTATTATAAAATGAAGCAACTGTCCAAGTATTAAGCTGAAATTAAGCAAAATGGACAGAACCTTTTTAGATATTTACATAAATATTCTTCTCTGAAATCTGCTGTTGTTACTAATGCTGACTTGTCTGACCAATAGTCAGCCCAAGCCCACGAAATTCCTCCTGGCAAGGGCAAGAGCCTTGAACGCCTTACAGGTGACAGTGAGATTTAGCTCAGTTCTGCCCCCTCCCACATTTTTATGGAGGGTCGATCCTCGTACCCGTCCCTCCCATGTTCTTAGCGACGCTACAATAATCAACACCTTAGCAATATAACTGCACACTTCTGCACACAGGAGTATTCATGAACTCATCATTCATCATTCAATATGTACCTGTATTTATATACAACAGAACTGCCCTACACTAACCTTGTGCTCCAGCTTTCATGTGACTTACGTCTTATTTTACAAGTATTTTTAGTTTAACTACCTACTATCTGTAACACTACAGCTTGCCTCTTCATTCTATAATACAATCCTACTAATGCCCTTGTAAGGCCATGTACTTCCCTTTGACAACCTCAGTAATCTCCTGGTGCAGCCTCGTGTGGCTCCAGGCAGCTTTTGCTGTAGTTAGAGGAGGGCGTGGAACACATGCCTGTTTACATCTGTTAGACATCAGGCGTTCCAGTCCTCCGTAACCTACCTACCTACCCGTCCCCCCTCTTCCCCTACCACAACCTCTCGAGAGGAGTTTTGGCTCGCCGCATATTTGGAGTGCCTTATGCCGCACGGACACTACACATTTATAAGCATTCATGTTTTCTTCTAGAATTCAAACCCGAGCCCTTCGGCAAGGGAGTCATTGACGCTAACCACTATACTAGTTGGGCAGCTTTGAAATCTGTAACATTATTTAAATAAAATTCTTCTCCCAGAGAGTAAATGCAACAACAGAGCTTCTATTTTGATAATAAATTCAGTGAAACTTCAACACCTTCAATAGATGACCACCACCATTTAAAGTGACCAATATTTTCAAGAACAAAAATAAGTAACGATACTGAATATCTATTTGTCTTATACTCTAAAGCGATCACTCGCACAGAAAACTAATTTGTTGAAAATCTCAGGTACCCGTCTGTAAGTAGTTTCCCTGTAATATGTTAATAAGAATGAAATCAATTAAATATAATAAGTGTTTTGTTTGAAATAGTGACACTGTACTCGAAACGCCCCTTTAAGCGTACTATGAAATCTAAAAACCTTCAGATATTTTTTTTTTTTTTTTTTTTTTTTTAAAGATTACCAAAATTTTCTTGTCCGGCACTGGATTGTAGTCAATTCAGACACATGAAAAATTTTAAATAGTTATTAAGTTTACTAAAGAATAAAGCGAAAGAAAACTTGCTTTACAGGTATTATATAACTGATTATTGACACAATACCGAAGTAAAATTTTGTACTTCATATTCTGAAACGTGAGTTAAAAAACCACGGATATCTCTTGGTATATGACGCATTAGGCAGGGCTTGGTTATTTGACTGAAAATATTTACAGATAAAAGTACATTAGTTTCATTTAACTACTATCAGCATTCGATTTGACTCCCTCATACCCCCTCTGATAATCTATGGATTGTTTAGGGGTCAGTAAGATTAACAAAGTGGGTGGTGCAAGGTCCAAACTTCACATTATAAAAAGATAAGAACCCAACAAAGAATATTAGATAGTTTCGTGCTCACACTAACATTGTTCCTAAAATAGTCTTTTACTTTAGGAGTTTATTAAAATTTACCTATGTCTGACATGAATATTCTTCGTTTTCTGATGCTCATCAGCATCAGCCTTTTGCTCTGCCGTATATGCTGGTTGATATACACAAATGATGTTAAGGAGGATGTACCAGAAATGTGCACATGTACCTGCTTCGATAAAACTATGGTTATGTCTGATTTGAAATATATAATAGAATACCGTGGAATAAAACGAAATGAATCCTGTGGCTGCCAAACCTTTTTGTACTCTAAGCTTAACCAAATCTTCCCGCCAAAAGATGATCCCAGTCAGATTTGCAAAATATGTGACTGCAAGGAATACCGAGAACTTGTTAACGAAGATAATAATGAAGTGTCTTTCCAGACTACGTTTGATATCGTAATGTTTACTCTTTTAGCGTTGGCCATTCTTCTGAGTATTGTGAAATTGCTCGAAATTTTCATTTGCTCCACAAATGAATCTCGTAGTTACCTAAGAAAAAGGAAACATGAGTTCACTGCTGAATATATAGTTCCTGATGATATAGTACATGAAAAAGTGAAGCCAGAGCAGAAGGACGAGGAAAAAAGTAAAATTCGGTTTGAAATCTCAGGTACGGATATTATCAAGAACTATAAAACATTTTAAATGAGAATCGTCTTATACTCTGTAGCTTCACTGATATATTTGTAGTAATATGACTAAAAACTACTTTTAAAAATCCAAGCAAATTGAAGACGATCTTATATTCTCTTACTTTCTCGGTATACCTGTAGTAATATGATTACCTACTTTTGAAAATCCAAGCAAATTGAAATAAGCTTTTAATTAATAAATGGATTAAAATTTCCTTCTTCAAAAATGCTTGAAACTAGTTGAACTGGAAGGTCTTATTTTCTAAAAGGTTTATTTGTGAGAAAATTAACAGTGAATGCATTAATATTTTTAATTCTGTTTTTATAATATATATGCGGCAATTTTCTGATGAGTAATTAATATGCAGACTGCTTTAAAAGGAATTTATTCATAATATGCAACGTAAAATGGTAGAGAATTTAAAGGAAAGTTTTTTTATTATGTTTTAAGGGATATTTTGTTTAACATTTTAAGGAAAAAATTAGTTATAATAATTTACATTACAAAAATTTGTTTAAAAATTATAACGTCATTTC